ATTATTATTTTAAAATTTAATATTTAATTTATAAAAATATATATTTATAATGATAAATCTAAAATGATATATAAAAAATTCTAAAGTTTGATACATATCGATAGCAAAATGGCTACATATGTCGGATATTAACAACTTCGAGCCGGTTCCTATGCTTAGACTGTTCATGCTTTTTTGCCCCACCATCCAGTCTTTGCATTGCCATTTTTATCCTTTTCACAGTCTTTTCCTGTGGGCAAATGAGTCTTTTTGCGCAAAATTAACAAAGGGAGTTAACTGTTGCTGGCCAGTTCATTGGGCCTCGTGTCTCTTTTATCTTTTTGTCCTGTGTCTTACGCCCTATTCGGTAATTTTACCGTCATTTCCGCTCTGATTGGGGGAGATTAAACGGCATCCCTCGCTCTGTTGGCGAAATTGCCCCTTATAATCAAGCTGTTCATCTGCCTCTTTTAGGTATTTCGCACTCGTTTTGAGTCTTCCTTTCATATTTCCAGACTTTTTTGCCACTGTTTCAAGACTGTTCTTTGCCCTCCCGGCGGTTTTCCGTTTGAGTCTTGCTGTTGATCTCTTGTTTACACCCATTTGTTTCAACCAGTTTTTTGTTGTGGTTTTCGTTGTGGTTTTCGCATATTATTGGTGTTGCCATTCGTTTTTGAGTTAAGAATCGTTCAAGGAGATTTAGAAAAAGATCGAGGCTTCTACAGAGTGTAGTTGAGTGAGCAAGTGCAGAATAAGTGTCATGGTTAAATATAAGGAAAGCTACTTGTGTTCAGGAGGTAAGAAAGGAGATGGAAGGAACGGTTGGGCAGAGGGTTGTGCCTCAATTGAGAGAGGGGTGGTTTCTAATCATGTATGAGGAGAATTTGAATAGTGAGAGTACGAGCATGTGGATTGAGGATTGTGGCTAAATTTCGAAGAGCTGGTGTTGGATTTGGTTATAACCAATTGTGATTACTGGGTTTTGAGGAGTCGAGAAACACGCGTGTGTTAAATTTGAGGGAAGCTGCCTGTGCTCCCCAAAGTGGCAAAGGGGATGGAAGGAGCGGTTAGGCTGAGGGTTGTGGCTCAATTGAGAGGGGTGGTTGCTGATCTATATGTGAGGACGATTTGAATGGTAAGAGCACAAGCATGTGGGTTGAGGAATCTGGCTGAATTTCGAAGAGGTTAGTCTTCGATTTGGTTATAACCAATTGTGATTACTGGGTTTTGAGGAGTTGAGATACACACGGATGACAAGTTGAGAATTATGCTTTAATTTAAAAATCGCTGGAGCCTTCGCCTTCCATTGTGTACATGTTAGATTCATGCTAATTGTTTTAGCCTGTGATTGTTGTGGAATTTGGATTTGGGTTTTTCTTTTGGGTTTTTGGTATATTTTCATGTTCTGGAGTTGCTTTTTACTAAATTGCCATGATTTTTGCTGCTCAACTTTTTACCATTGTGAGGATACTAATGTCTTTTCCACTTTTTGCGCGGGCTGGTTTTTGCATCTGGTGTGAGTTGTTGGGTTTTCCTTTTTTACAATTGGTATCTATTTTTTCATTTTTCCCCTTCTTTTTCGTATGTTGAGTTTTGCTCAATCTGAATTTAGTTTTTAGTTTTTTTTACTGTGTATTAGCCTTTAAGGAAGGAGTTAGTTATCCATGTTTGCTGATTAGGAAATATAGGTTGATTTGAACTGTTTTTCCCTTTTGTTTGATGAATTTGGTACCACTTTTTTGGTTTGGTAACGAGGCTTTAGACATGAATAATTGCCTCATTTAATTTTGTGTTTGGTAATCATTTTCTTGTCCATGACAATTAATATTTTTTAACAGCTCGTTTAGAGGCTGGACAAATCATGGGATTGAATAAAAAATTATCTAATCCAACTTAATCTCATGTTTAGAGGAGAAAGTCTACCGTATTTTTGGTATACAACAGATGTGTTATCCCAATCTAATCTAAATACACCATATCAACATTTTTTTTCACACTTTATCAATCACAAACAAAAAAAAAATTAATGTGGCATTTTCTCATTGGGTTGGAATACCACATTCGCGGTAGCTGGATACACCAGACAAAATCTGTTTAGAGGATACTTGAGATAAGATAAAGGTTAAAACCACATTTTGGTCCCTAAACTATTGTACAAACCCTTGATTTGATTCATGAACTAAAAAGATCCCTAATTTGATTTCTACTGTTTACCAATTTGACCCTGATTATATCCTTCAATTAAAAATTAGTGATGTGTACTGTTAACTAATAAGAGCATGATGACATGTCCAAATATGATGACATGTCCAAATATGGTGACACGTCAGATGTACATATGGAAAAAAGATGACATGTCACAAAAACACGTTAGATTCCCATCAAGCAAAAAAATAAAATAAAATAAAATAATACGTGGGGCCCACCGTTGCTCAAACTCATTATCTTCTCCCATTTCTTCCCATTCGAACCCTAGAAGAGTAGAGGGCACACCGTACTTGCAAAAAAGCCAAAAGTCTCATTCTCCTTCTTGCTTTTTATTGGTGAATCTTTGATCTTTCCCTTTTAAATCTTTGCATTTAGTGCTAAAAGAGGTAGAAATCAAAGAACAATGGAGTCTTCCAACATCATAGATGTCACGCTTCTCTCCATTTCAAAACTCTAAAAGAATAGAGCCCTTCTGCCTTTGATCTTGAGATTCATGCTTTCAAAATCAACTATTTTGTTCTTCTTTCGAGTGGATCTTGAGGAATTTTAGGCAATAGAAGTTGTTGAATTGATATCCATTCCTTTAATTTCTGATGGTGCGAGTGATAATGGTGGTCAAACGATAGATTGAAATGCGAGTGTGGTTTAGCACGTGTGATGAGGACAGCACTGACATTCTAGAACATGGGGAAAAGGTTTTGGGGATGTCTAAATTTCTTGGTAAGGCTAGTGTTCTTTAATTTTAGTTGCAAATTTATCTAGCTTAATGCAATTTTAGAAGCATAAAGTTTTTTCCTTAACTTTTGTCTTGTTTAGACTGGAAAGCTTTACAAGTTCTTCCATTTTATTCCTAGTGATAAGGTGATTGAAGGTAGAGCAAGGGATCTGTTATTGAGGTTGAAAGATAAGCAGCTTTGATTTCAGTTTGAGAATGAAAGGCTAAAGAAGGAAAATGCTGATCTAATCAAGGAAAATAATGATTTAATGAAGGAAAGGGTTGATTTGATAAAGGGAAATGATGATTTGATGAATAAAGATGCTGGATTATTAGTGGAAAATGGGAACTTGCTACACAAGAATGGGGTCTTAATAGTTGAATCTGAATCACTAGTGAAAAAGACTAAGCATTTGGAGAAGAAAGTGAAAAGAAGTGAGAAGATTTTCATAAAGATCACAAAAAGTTTCTATCATTTTGTGTGTGGTTTGCATGCTAAATGTTGTATCTACTATTAGTCTGTTTATTGGCCTACACATGCTGCATTAGAATCCAGGTTTTTGTAAGCTTATTGACTTACAAAGGTTGCACTAGAATCCAAGTTCTTGTGAGTTTATTAGCCTACAGAAGCTTTTCTTGTTGTCTGAACCAATTGTAATGTGCCTTTTTGCCTAAAACCTAATATAATATCGAAGATTTTGTGTTGTTGAAATCTATTATAAATGTTGTATGTGAATGTATATAAATTTGAGAAAATAAGCACTTATGCAAAGTGCATACCATTCCGAGATGCAGTGTTTACAAACCTTACATAAATATAGTTTCATACATACCAACAAAAAGCAAATTTTACAATTAAAACCTAAGCAAAAAATACAATTATGGACTACACATTAAACCAATAACTACATTTACCAACCATAATTGTTATACACAAAATACAACCCCACACAAAATATGCTCGTCCTAGCATATTCAACCTAACAAAATCCAAAAAAATCAATCTTCACCAATCTCACTTTGATGCATTTGCAGCCATGCAAGGTTTCTTCTTTGGCTGTCATGGCTTTGGCTGTTTCCCTTTATCTTTGGGTGTTGAAGGAGTTACTACCTGTGATTTGAACGGGGCTGTGGTTGTTGTTGCATGATCCTTTTCAGCCCTCTTCCTTGGCTGTGCATATTTTTAGCTTCCTTCACACTAAAGATCAAATGTGCATTTGTTAATATATCTAGCATACCATAAAATGCTTAATTGATTAGTTTAGAAGCTTACAACCTCCTGTTTTCTTCTTGCTGTTTGCCTGAATCTCTTTGGTGTAGGTGCCTCATTAAGAACTTGACTAAGAGGATCCTCCACTTGGCTCATTGGGTTTTCCACATTACCCCCAATGTTTTCATCAACACCTTGAGGTTGCTCCTCTTGGGGAGTTACTTGATCCTCATTTTGTTCTTGCTACAAATACATACATATGAAAAAAATAATGTATAAAACACATAGAGAATTCACCATAATTAATTACCAATTTAACTTACAATCTTTGGTGGAACTCCTTTACATGACCTTGAGTTGTGTCCCTTTTAAAGCATTTTTGACAGGTCATCAACCTCCCTTTTCTACCAACAGATGTTTTCCCCTGCCATTCTTCTAAAACTCGTTCCTTCTTTGGCCTGCCAAGCATCTCTCTTGGATTTGGTGGTTGAATAAGCGGCATTTTAGTTTCCTTCCATTGGTTCATTCCTTCTATGACTGGGACTTCATATTCATGACTTGCCATGAACATTTGCTTGTTGTACCAATGTGCTACATAGTCCTCATCATTCTCTTGTCCATGGTTGATCACAATAACTGCATGCCTATAGGGTATTCCAATCATATTCCAAACTCTACAAGTGCATGTCTTTCTCTCTACAGTTACAATATAAGTTGCCTCCCCATTATCATCAACTCCATACCCTTCACTACCAAGTCATAAAAGTGTGCATCTCTTGCTACCTTCTCGGGCAGCAACAATTTTTGCCCAAATTTTGGGACCAAAATTCCCAACAAATTTGCTATTACCATATTCCCTCCTAGCCACCCTCCTCCTGGCACACATTGCTCGCAAGTCTTCCAACATAGAAAATATAACCTTGTGCCTTGCTTCCAGTATTAAATCATTAAAAACCTTGCACATGTTGTTATCAACAACATCGCACTTACTATCTTCTTTGTAGAAAGCCTTTGACCAAAACCCAGGGTGTGTGTTCATGATGGCAAGGACTGCACTTGGTTTAATATGCCTTAACTCAGTTAATTCCATGTTGAAGTCATGTTCAGTGTTAGCCTTAACACATCTTCAAAATGCTACCTTCAATTCTTTGCCTCCATTATTCTTTCAAAAGTTGGCATAATTGTGTCTAGCACATGTTCTATGCTTAGCATCTGGAAATAGATCCTATATTGCATGAATCAAGTCCTGGAATCACATGTTCTCAATGAGTACATATAATTACCAAATAATTTATTTTTCCCAAATTGGTCCTTGAACTGGACCAATTTGGGAAAAGTGAAAAATTCATAAACATAATAGAACCATGGATTATACCTTATGTTGGTTAGAAATGAGTGTGAAATGACTCTCTGATCCAATCATCATGTCTTTTTGCAACTCCTCAAGGAACCAGATTCAGGTCTTTGTGGTCTCACCTTCCACCGCTGCCTATGCAAGTGGATACATCTGATTGTTTGCATCCCTAGAAACAACAACCAACAATACTTCTTTGAACGCTCCTTTAAGGAAGGCACCATCAAGACTAATAACATGCCTGCAGCCAATTACAAATCCCAACTTCATTACAAAAAAACAAATGTACATCCTTAAGAAAACAGGATTTAAATCTGTAGTTGGTCTTGATGCCTCAATAAATGATGGTGGCAACAAGGTCTTTCGATCGAAGCTCTGCAGCATAATCCCACAATTTACCATATTCCATCTTGCAATCACCTTCAAATGCCTTCTCGATCTTCTTCTTCACCCTTTTCAATTGATGGTGAGATAACTCAACACTCAACTCTCTCCTGATGACATTATAAATGTCAATTTGCCTCATGTACAAGGCAGCAAATCCTCTATGCCTCACCAAGTACTTTGAAGCTATTATTGAGCTACATTGCTTGTTCTTCTTTAACAGCTAATGGCATGTATGCTCAGACACAAATGTCTTCACCATCCAAGATTTAGTTGGTTGGTCCATTGCCAAATCAATCTACCATGGACAATTTAGCACCTTCACGCATGATGTCTTGCATCTTATATGGTCATTTTTTATCCATTTAATATCTCGCCTTTGCTTGAGGTTCCACTTATTCATAGCATCCTTAAATTGTTGGTTGTTGATAAAAATCATTCCTATTCTAATGTCACGAGTCTCATCATCTCCTGGCTCCTGGTAAACCTTATGCGTAGCCCATCTCCTCTTACCATGTTTGGCTTCACTCCTTTTGTTGTCAGATGTTGAGAGATGGCTATTTTCTTCATCACTCCTTATCTCATCAGCTTTATCAAAATGTTGTCTACTTGGTCCTCTAGCACTAGAACCTGCTAAACAATATAGATTCTCCATTAAAGAAAGTCACATAATCAAGAACTCAAAACTCATTGAAGTTAGTTTAGAACAAATACCTATAGTATGTGCATCATAATACTTTACATCAACTGTTGGTGGTTCAAGGTCTTTCTCAATGCTGTCCTTAATGTTGTTGAAAAACTTGACATTCTTTCTAGCTTGCAACGTCTCCTCATCTTCATTGTCTGTTAACTCAGGAACATCAATAATATGATCTTCCTCACCATCATCATATTCAGCTCTGACACCATCATCACTTACAACATCCCCATCATGAGTTTCAACACCAACACCTTCCTCAGTAACGTTAACAATAGCCCCATCAACGCCAACACTTTCCTCAGTAACATTAGGTTGGACATTGTCACTTGCATTGTCATTGTCTTCCTTCTGATCATCACCAGGAGCTGGTAAAGAATCACTTCTTCTTCTACATGTGCAAAGTCAAGGATATGAAGTATATAAACGAGGATAACATTGACAACCTTTATAACTTCCAGCATCACCCTCACTGAATCATCATGGACAATTTGCACTAAACCATCTTCTAAAGTTTTTCCAAGTTGCAAATACCATATCCTATCTACCATATCAAGATCATACTTACAAAACTCAACCTTTCTATAAAACTCCCACACTATTATTTTTTCTAGGTCTACATTCCAAACATGGCACTGCCCATCAACATATTAAAGGCCATTGTTTTGCACTAACCTACCACCAACATGTAGACACATTTTGGTAGTGTTGTCTAACTTCTTATCTCTCTATTCAAAAAAATATATATATTAAAGACAGTCGAACAACCAATCTGTCATGCAATTATATTTTACATAATCAAACTAAAAAAAACACAAATTACTATTGTAATCACCCTAACCTATACAAAAACAAAAAGATCAAGTGGGGACCCAATGTCCTTTTCGCTACCAACTCAAGAAACATATACTAAAAAACAACTTGTAAATTGCTTTCAGGACATCAACCAACACCTTCACACATCTTGAAAGAAAATACAGTGAAAAAAGGTTCGAACCTCATCCCCACTAAGATCTAGGTTGGCATTGACATCTACGATGTTGGAATACTCCATTGTTCTTCGATTTCTACCTCTTTTAGCACTAAACGCAAAGATTCGAAAGTGAAGGATCAAATATTCGCTAGCAAAAAGCAGGAAGGAGAATGGGACTTTTGGCTTTTTTGCAGGTACGGTTTGCCCTCTACTCTTCTAAGGTTCGAATGGGAAGAAAGGGGAGAAGATAATGAGTTTTGGCAGGAGGTGGGCCCCACTTTTTATTTTTTTTGCTTTGCGAGAATTTGACGTGTTTTATGATATGTCATTTTTTTTTCCATGTGTACATTTGACGCGTCACCATATTTAGACATGTTATCATGCTCTTGTTAGTTAACAATACACATAATCGGATTCTTAATGAAAGGATCAAATTGGGGTCAAATTGATAAACAGTAAGGACCAAATCAGGGTTTTTTTTAGTTAAGGGACCAAATTGGGGGTCCATATAATAGTTCAAGGACCAAAATGGAGTGTTAACCTAAGATAAACAGTCTCTAATGATTTATCTAAAAATAATGATTGGTATACACTTTGATTAAACATATTACATAATATATTTATTAAAAAACTATTATTTTTTAATCTAAAATAAAAAAATAAATTTAAAAATATAATTATACACACATATGTAAAAACCGATTAAATTTGTTTCATTAGTGAGGATAATGGTGCCCCCAAAAGCAGTTTCAACGGGCTTAGTTGGCCCAAAATGACAACCATTTAAGTTATTTCGTTGCCAGGCTTTATTGTTCAGTTTCATGCTTTTGTGTCGCCCATTAAAAATTGCCCTAAACAACCTACAAGCCAAGCCAAACCAAGCCAAGCTTTGTTGTTTGGTTTTATACTTCTGGTGTCCACCATTAGAAACTACCTTAAACCACTTGGAAGTGGTATACGTGTTTGATTAATTTGAATATAGAATGCAGGTTTGATGCTAAGGATGCGGAAGATCTGGGTCTAAGAAGGTGACGGAAGTTTTCAATTTTGATTATTTGTATTGGTTTCAATTTTTATTTATTTATTGTAGTTTTGATGTTATTGCAAATCTAATTTGATATTGGTAGGATGATGTTATCCATGTTGTGATTGAGAACAAATAAGATAAAAATTCACAAAGATTATGTTTGGGAACATGAATTTATATTTGAATGATGTATTTTAAATACATGTATTTTTAAATTTATTATTTGGATTAACATAATAGAAATGAATTTGATATTCAAGTTGTTGATTGAGGCATTTTTACAAACAATTCCAAAGCAATCCTTTTGCAACTTCAATAACAAGTTGAAGCCAAATAACAACTTTCATTTCATCCCACCCACTAACAAACAAGAAGTAGAAAAATCCCTACTACCAAAATCTAGCATCCCCCACCAATAGAACAAATATAAATCTCAAGAAATATACCTCCCACTCTTCCTCCACCCTTCCATAACGTGTTGGATGAATTACAAGCTGGACTGTGGATCAGCATTCTCCCATTCCCTCTTCTTCCTATTTTTGATCAATCTCATTCACACCATCCGACTATACAAGTATTCCAACTGAACTAACACCAAACCATTTCACATTTTGTATCTCATTAGAAAGCTTTATACTACTATGCAAGTTGATGTCATTTGCAAATATTATAATCCCATCCAGCTTCTTCTCCCTCACAACTTTGCCCCATTTACAAAACAACCAGATCAATTCAAATTCTACCAATTATCCATAACCCCACTAATACAATGATTCTAAGCCTTCACTA